CATTTTTGTTGTCTCGAAAGCACCTGTTACAGTGACTTAAACATAGCATTATTCAATCATTGTTTCGAATGCATGGCTCAGTTCTGCTCATTAGAAGTAGTACAATCTGAACGGAACTATTTATAAAGCATTGCACCATCTCTTCTAAGTTAACATCAAAATAATAGCATTAAGAGGTCAAACAGCATTTATTCAATTAAACAGATCAAAAACTAGAAATGTTATTTTTCTTTTTAATCCTCACCCAAGGATGTTTATAGATTTGAGAGAAAGAGGAAGGGAGTTGGGAGAGGGGGAGAAACATCGTTCTAAGACAGAAACTGGTAAGTTGCATTTCAAATGTGTCCCCACTGGGGATCAAACCCACAACCTAGGTATGTGCCCTTACTGGGAATTGAACCCACAACCTTTTTTTGGTGTATGGGACAAGGTTCTAATCAACTGGGCCGCCTGGCCAAGGCAAAACCATAAATGTTTAATATATTTCTCTTCCCCATTTTGTTTCATTGACATGGTTTTAGGTTGGCCAAAAAATCTGCCATGTTTTTTTCTGTAAAATAAGAGACATTTTCCATTTTCACAAATAACTTTATTGATTTGGATATTTTGAGTATGTTGGCTATCTCCTGCTATTGGCTTCTAGTGGCTAGAGGTCAGAGGTGCTGCTCAACACCTTCCAGTGCGTAAGAGCCCACAGTAAAGAATTATTTGGCTAAATGTCAATAGTACCAGAAACTTGGCAAACCACTTCTGACACGTTTGATCAGTCACAGCACTTCCACATACTGCAAAAATCTTGTTTTGTTTCAGTTGCCTTTTTACCTTTCTTGAGTAATAAAGCATAATATGTCAAAAATGCTGCATCATTTCTTCCATCTTCAATACTAAAATGGCTACACAAAATTTCACCAATTTTGATGTTTTTTTAAAAATGCACATTGATACGACAGCTGTCATAATAGAATCTAACAAAACTGTTTTGAATGAAGTTAAAGACAACTAAGCATTACTAGAGCCACTGCAAAAAAAAACAATGGACTCTTTGGCCAATCCAATATATTACCCAATCATGTTTTGCTAAAAAGAAGGAAGCAAAAAGATTAGAATAGGTCGATATTTTCATTTTTTTGTTGTTACAATATTATATATGCAATAAGTAACATTTTATAGAAAGCAAATGGAGGCAGAACTGCCTAACAAGTTAAGGAATATTTATTATGGCTCTGGCTGGTGTGGTTCAGTGAACTGAGTGCCAGCCTGTGAACCAAGAGGTCACCAGTCTGATCTCCAGTCAGGTGCGTGCCTGGGTTGTGGGCCAGGTCCCCAGTTGGGGGCAAGAGGCAACTGATCCATGTACCTGTCCCACATTGGTATTTCTCTCCCTCTTTTTCTCCCTTCCCCCCTCTCTCTGAAAATAAATAACTAAAACCTGAAAAAATACATTTATTATGGGTTTGAACTCAGGCAGACCTAGGTTTTAATCCCACCTTATAATTCGCCAGCTGTGTAACCGTGAGCAGGTTAGTTGACTTGAGCGTGTTCCCTCTTCCGTACAACGGAAATGCCAACGAGGTGCTTGTAATAAATGAGAATAATGTTTACATAAAACATTTGCACAGTACATAATAAGTGCCTGACACAAAGAAAATCTTATTTTCATCTTTTACTACACTCTCTTTTATCATGAGCCCTCCTCTAAGCCCTATTGCCACCAGTGTTCTTGGAGTATAGACTAGTTATTTCCTATGGTTTAAAAAATCTGCTTAGACCGTTTTTGTCCCTCTGAGGTAATCAATCTGTACCTTATATCAAGAATTAGCTGAACTCAGTGTTAGAAAGAATTGTTTCTGGTACGTGAACTGTGTTAGTAATAATCTTTCTATGCTGGGAAGGCCCCAGAATTAGGGAATCCTGCCATTTTGGCACTGTGTTAACTTACTACTCTACTTTTTTATATGGTACCTGCTTCATCACAACTTTGACTTTGCTCTCTCCTACCTTTTCTCCTTTACTTTCAACTGCTTCCTCTCACTGAAGTCTATTAGAATTGAGCATATATTTAGCATAACTCAAGACTCTTCCAAGCACAATAAATAAAAATAAATCCAGCCCGGACCAGTGTGGCTTGGTTAGGCGTCCTTCCGCAAAGTGAAAGGTTGTTGGTTGGATTACCGGTAGGGACACAAGCCTGGGTGGCGGGCTCGGTCCCCAGTTGGGACACATTCAAGAGGCAGCCGACCGATGTTTCTCTCTCACATGGATGTTTCCCTCTCTCCCTTCCTATAAAAATAAAGTCTTAAAAAAATAAGAATAAAAGAACCTGCACCCAGATACACCACAGTAAATTTCAGAAATTGAAAGGCAAAAAGAACAAAACTGGAAAGCAGCCAAAATCTTCAAAGGAATGACAGACTGAGAACTGACTTCTCAGGGGCAACGGAAGGTAAAAGGCAGCAGGAAAGATACAATCTATGTGCCAAAGGAAAGTAATTTCCAGTTGAGAATTCTATATCCAATAAAAATATTCATCTGGAATTAAGAAAGACAAAATAAAGATCTTTTTAGATCAACAAAAATGTGAGAGGCCTAGGTCAGGTAGCTCAGTTGGTTAGAGCATCGTCCCAATATGCCGAAGTTGCAGGTTCAGTCCCCGGTCAGGGCACATACAAGAATCAACCAATGAATGCATAAATAAGTGGAAAAACAGATTGCTGTTTCTCTTTGTCTCTTCCTCTCTCTCTAAAATCAATAAATAAAAATAAAATGGGAGAGTTCCTCACTAACAGGCAAGCACAAAAGCAAACAAGCAGGGTAGGCAAACGTCTATAAAGAGCCAGATATTTTAGTCTTGCAGGTCATATGGTATGGTATCTGTCACAACCACTCTGCCATTGTAGTGCAAAATAAACCATAGACAATAGCAAATGAATGAGCCTGGCAGTATTCCAATGAAACTATTCACAAAAACAGGTAGTAGGCTAGATTTCGCCTGTGGACTGCAGATTGCTGACTCCTGTCCTAAAGCTTAAAGTTTGGACAGAAGGGAAATGATCCCAGACGGAAAGGCAGAGATTCCAGAAGGAATGAAGAGCAAAGAAAGTGATAAATAAACATTGATTATATGAAACTTGTTTTTAAAAAAAAATCATAGAACTAAAACACATAACAAGAGCATATAAAATAAGAAGTTAAATGGAGTTGGTTTCCTAGGTTCCCTGTGTTATTTCTTGGGAGGACATGTGAAGGTATTGATGAAATTAGACTTTGATACATTAAAGATGCCTGTTTAACTTCTAAGCTAACCATTAAAGAATGAAAATGGGATAAAACTTCCAAACTACCAGAAGGGTAAAAGTTGGAATGATCAAAAGGCAAGCAAGAAAGGACAGAAAATTTAAAACATAAAACATTTGACACAAATAGACAAAATAAAAACTTTAAACCCAGACATATGACTAATGACACGACTATAAAAGATTAAATATTTCAATGAACACTGTGAATATTAGACTACTTACAAAACAAAAACTAAATGTGGTTTATAAAAGATGTAAGCAACCAGAAAGGTAAAAGACAAGGTTAAGACTAAAATTTCTTTATTAACATAATTTTTCAACACTTTAGTGTTTTTTCCTTCTTATGGATATCATGTACACATATAATAGTACATCCCTTTGGGACACATTAATTTGAATATTTTTCTTTTATTGTACATAATTTTCAAGGGATGACATTCCTAGTATTTGGAGTTTGAAATTTTAAGTTAACTGAATAACTGAATGGAAAAGCTATCTTGTCAGTTACCAAAGGCAATGTGATTCCAAATTTGTTTTTGGCCCAATATGCCCTTAAAAGGATCTAGGGCCAATGATTGCTATTTCATGTTAATGTGTTGATCGTGCTAATAAAGTTTAAGTTCCAAGGCAATGTATATAACATTTTAATGAAACAAAAGATTTTACCATTATTTCCTTTCAAAGAGTCTAGAAGTACTTATGTCTCATCTTGAGGAATTAATAGTTTATAAGAAGCAGTTAAAGCACTGGGGCAAGGCTTTGGACTAGGCATTTTCTGTTAGCTCATTTAGGCCTCGCAACAATGCTACATGGTTTCTATTTACATTAAACATGAGGTTAAGAAATAAATTGCTCAAGGTTCCACCATGGGTTTTGAATCCAGGGCGACGGCAAGCTACGAACACAGGCATTTTTCCCTTGCTGCTGATTCAATTAGAAAAAAAAAAAAGGCCTTATCCTTCAAATTTCTCTTAAGCAGGAAAAAATTCTCTGTAGGATCACCACCTTTCCTTCATTAGAATACTGCTTAACCTCCGCAGTTCCTAATTTAGACCAACAGCTTCCTGCTGTTATTTTAAGTAATAATGATATTGATTCGAAATGGGTTACATCTCGTTTCTTAGTTTATCAATTCCAGGTGTTATTCCCAGAATTCTATTTATCCTCGTTCGGGGAGCTTAAGGCCTCTATGCAGATGAAGGAAAACGAACCAGATGTCGGGTATCCACGGCTCCTTTTGTAAAGGGTCGGGCAGCAGTAAGAAAAGGATTGTGTCTGCACAATTCATGGTGGGCCCCCGAAAACGAGTTAACTGGTCGGTAACTATTGGTTAGGAATACGCCCATAACTATTATGACTGCTGACAGTCGAACCAACCCACAAGGTCTCTACTCACTTTAGACTCGGGCCAACCTCGTACCTTTACTAATTTGGGTTTGGGTCACTAGCTCAGGGAGCAGCGCAGCCCTACCCGACTTGTTAGCTCGGAGCGTGTGGTTTGCCGCCTAAGGCGGATGCGGCTCTAGCGTTCGTGGAAGCACCAAAGTATCGCGATATCTGAGGGGAAGGGGCCGGAGAGCTCGCGTGCACGCGCCCGAGAGCCGTTAGGGTGGAACCTTTCCTGGGCGGGGCGGGCCGAGCGGGCGGAGCAAGTACAGTTGGACGGCAGTTGGTGGAGCCCCCGCAGAAAACGACTAAGCGCGAGCAGCGTGCGCGCTCACGTCGCAGCGACGGCGGTGGCGAGCGGCGTCAGAGCCTGAAGGGGGGGGTTGACGGCTGCTGGCGGGTGACTAATATCGCTTCTGTCCCAGGAATCCGACAGAGCTTGAAGGAGCGAGGGTCGTTTTCGGGGGCTGCTGCCTTCCGGGTACGCGTCGTCGTCAGGAGCACAGCCCGGACTCTTCTGTAAACCCTCCGGCTCTTTTTCCGCACGCTTTCAGGCGGCGGCGGCGGCGGCAACCGAGACAGCGTCTCACCTTCCCCCAGCCCTTTCCCTTGTCCCCCACTGCCCAAAAGGGCCTGGTCTGCGCCCCACCCCCGCCTGTCCGCCCGCCCGCTACGCCGCAGCCATGTCGGCGCAGGCCCAGATGCGCGCGATGTTGGACCAGTTGATGGGCACCTCCCGGGACGGTAAGTCTCTGCCAGTGCCCTGGGGGTGGGGGAGGGGATGGAGAAGGGGCTCTGCGGGCGCACCTGGGCTTGCGTGTGTGACTGAGTAAGGGGCTCCCAGATTGGTAACACGAGGTCCCGGCTCCGGTCCCATCCAATCAGGGCTGGGCAGGCGGGCTGGGGGGGCGGTGTCCGAGCGGATTGGCGGGAACTGCTGCCAATGGTGTTAGGCGGGGCCTGGAAGCCAGAAGGAGAGTTTGAGCATTCAGTGTTGACTTGGCTGGGACGGGAGAGCCCACGTCTCTCTTGCGTAGTCCGGCGGCCCGTTTTGTGGTCTAATTAGGTACCTGCGGACCGCTAGAGCCTCCGCCCCCCTGATCTGCTCCCTAACCCAGAGCTTTGGGATCCTTCCTCGACGCCGCCCTCCAGAGCATCCAGAGAGAACTGCCCCCACCCCATCCCCTTACCTGGGTCGGGAGGAAACCTTTTACGATCAACCCAGTCCCAGAAATGCACACTCGACCCTCACAGAAACAACTGTTCTTAAGAAAAAATCTGACCCAAACCATGGTTTCTTGAGTGGGTGTGTTTGGCCCCATTTTGTGGGGGGAAAAATGTTATGTCCTGTTTTTTCCGAGACCTCCATTTTGTTAGACAATTTAATAGAGGCTTTGTTCAGTAAATATTGACAAATCTTGCATGTGCCCCAAATAGAGCCATTTTGAAAATGTGGTGCCCAGTGAAGTAGAATTGAGGGAAACGATTCTTTTAGGCACTTAGGTTAGAATTTGTATAGAAGACCACTAGTTGCTGGATATCTTTTGTTATAAAGAGAATTTTTAAATAAAAGATGAAATGCTGTTGCTTTTTTGTCGATGGTAATTAGTAATGTACTCTTTGGAATTCAGCTCAAGTCCATGCTACTTCGGAGGAAAGATCTAGTTCAATACTTTCTTAAAACCAAAATAAAACACTTGTTTATTTTTGTATGTTGCTTGTATAGGCGAATAGTTGCTTAGCCATTGGAAAGTTGCTTTTTTCTTAACAAGTTATTTAAATTGCTTGACATAAGAGGAAGGACACAGCCTTAATTTTTTAAGTCGGTTTTATATTTTCTTGAATGCTTTGCAGCAAAATATGTGAGTAGATTTTTAAAAATTTATTGAATCAAATATTTTTTGGCAATGCATATTTAGAATGGCTTTTCAGTGTTCACAGTTCAGTTTTAATAAAAACCCATATTGGGAACTTTTTCTTGTAGAACACATAGACAAGGAGGTGTAGATGACAAGTCAACTTGTGGTTGTGTAGACAGAAGGGGAATATTGGAAAGGAAATGAATTTTATTTGTTTAGTAAATCCTTGAAAGGTAACAGTTTAAAATGCCACTGGAGAAACTTACCCATTATTACTTTTCACTTTTAGATAAGAATGGTCATTATACATCTGTAGAGTATCTTAACATTGCTTCTTTTTCATTATGAAGACAGAATTGTGAAGGGGTTTAGTCTAGGATTTTAGCTGATAGAATAACTAATCTTTGTAATAAAATGATAGAAATCATTTAAAATTCATGTGTTTAAGTCTTAGATAGATACCATTTTTGGTTCCTTCTGTGTGGATTGAGTTTCCTGATTTTACAGGGAGGGTAGTTGTATCAAAGTACACTACAATCACCTGAAAAATTTCTGAACTAAGTAGCTAATCTAGTATTGCAAAGCTAAACCAGATATATAGCTATATATTCCTGTATATGTAGTCAGCAAAAACATGGATTTCTTAAAATCCGTTCTGTTTTATATACAGATAAATTCATATTTTTTGTGTCTGTTACTGGATTATTTATCTATTTATTTATTTATTTTGCCTCCAGACTAAGAGGATTTACCAGTGAACTCATGTTTGAGAGTCCACAGTATTATTTAGTGGAAATGACTGGATTTTCACTGCTGTGTTGGGCTAGAAGAAACATACTACTTTCAAGGAAAAGAATTGAATGTTTTTTTTAGATATATAACTTCTTTTATGTGTACAAGATAATAATCAGAACATTCTTTTCCTTCTTACCAGATACCAGATACTTAAATGAGTTTATATACTTCATTTTATAATTGAGGACTTTACATAATTAGGATTGTTCTTTATTAGCACACAGTCAACTTCAAGTTACTCAGGGATAGGGGAACATGGATACTTCCTCAATAACACCATGTAATTTGAAACCATATAATGGGAAGCTTTGTATTGGACACAGGAACAGTTTACAGGGACTGCTGTTGGTTGTGTTTGGCACTAAGGTGGAATTGGGGATTGGAGAGGTGAGAGGGAGATGGAAAAGGTAGGTAGGAGGTATTTAAGCTTTGTCCAATTTTTTTTTAAAAACTTTAATTCTGGGAGACTGACTGTAAAGCAACCACTGTCTTCCGGTAGTGGGCTCAAGGTGGCAAAAAACCCTCAACCCTTAGTGTCCTATCTTTGAGGGGATCTAAAGTGGCACAGGAGTCCCAGGGCAGTGGGAAAACCTGGCACCTCCTGCTCCCCAAAATCACAGTTTTTAATTAGTTACCTTTTAAAGTCCTTGGAGATTTAAGTCTGTTAAATGTACTTTATTTTGAATTACTTAAATCAATTAACTATTTAGATCATCTAAACCACTGAAATTCTTAGGAATAGGAGTTCTAGTGGCAGGCAAATGAGAGGTAACTTTTTTTTTTTAATTGAGACTATTGCAGTTGTCCCCATTCTCCCCCCCACCCCTTTGACTCCTCTTGGAGAGGTAATTTTTTTTTCACTGGGCACTTCCAGAAGGGACAGTCCTGGGTAAGTGGTGACAGTGTGGGGGGCTTTGGACAACCAGAGGGCAGCATGATGGCACTGGGAGGCTGGGCAGGGGGATGACCATGAGGTGGGAGAGGAATGTGTAAGGGTGGTGGGAGGGCCAAAGACAAACTTTGCCTTCTTTGCAATTTTGCCTAGGGCCCTGGTGGTGGCAACCGCCTGTGTGCCACTGAAAATCGTGCCGATGCCTGGCATACTGCATAAATGGAAGCAGGGTACCGCGTGAGTTGAAACATTGGTCACACTATATAAAGTTTGTATATGTGAATCAGTGTAACTCATACCCATGTAACTGGGGGTCTGACTGTATTTGGATTTTTCTGATAAGGCATCATGGGCTAAGGAAAAGAACACTGGGCTGAGACTCAGGAGACCTGGTTTCTAGCCTCAGCTGTACCTCTAATTGTAACCTTGGGTAAGTCACTTAACCTTTTTTGCCTCAAATTAAATCTGTAATTTGTTAAATGGGAGAAACCAAACAAGTTCCTATGTTATACTCCAAAAATCTTGGAAAAATAATATTTAAAATTTTTAGAAGGGCGAAACCATAGTAGATACAAATCAGTATCATTTTATCTGAAGTATAAGATATGTTAAGTTTTATAAATATCTTTGTTTTAGTTGTTAGAATTAAAAGAAGAGAGAGGGATAATTTGTTCTCCCTGAACTAGTCCTTTTGAAAGCAGGGAGCAGGAAGGCAGCCCAGGAAAACTCAGGCCGCAGTTGGGGCTTGTCTGTGTGACACTGGGAGGAACCCAGTGCCGTCACACAGACCATGGCCATTTGCGCCGAGTTGGGTTCATTGTGAGAATGTCCCTTCGCTAAAGCCCTTTTGCCAGCAAATAACAATTTGTTGGTTATGATTAAGTCTTTGGTGTTGATCCCAGATGGGCCTGGCAGGATGCAGGGATAGGAATTAAATAAAATCGAGGGTGTGAATTTAGGTTACATTCTTTGTTTAGAAACTAGGGAAGTTACAGAAGGTAGTTTTGAGGATTCTATACTTATTTGTTGCTATAACCTTTAAATGGATTCAGAGACCATCTCTGAAAGGTTAAAATAGCCCAGGAATGAAAATTGGCCCTCAAAAGTAACCAGTAGACTAATAAAATGTAGCATATAGAATAGAATTTTATGGCATCATTAGTTGTCCATTATGGTTGGGGAGTGTTTGGGGCAAGATAAAGCTTATAGATAATTTTAGCTATTTTTGGTAGTCATCTTCCTAAACATGATGTTACACTTCCTCAGTTAATAATAGAGTACCTTAATCAGAATTTAATATTTTCTGTTGATTGGTTATATTGTTCAGTAGCTGTAGTTTATGGGATGTAAACTTAAAAGGATACTCATCCTGGGAGCTACCAAGGACAGTACAGTTCAGAAAATCATTTACTTGTCTCTGATACAAGTCAGTGATACATAACTGTTGAACCTGTAGGACAGTATGACATCGATGCCTTTCTGCAAAATGAATTATTTAATCAAAGATTGAAGTAGGATCTTCAGTGGTTTTTCTTCATAAAATTATCTTTACTATAATCTGTGTTCCTTGACTTGTCATCAACATTGACAGCATTTCCCTTTTTTTTTTTTTTCATTAACATAATGAGCCATGTTTATTTCTTGGTCAATTGTAAGCCATTCTGTTATTCCACTTGAATTGTTCATTTTAAGTGAAGGAGGCATAGCCTTTAATAAACAAGCACACTTTTTTAAAAAAATAATGGGTATTTCTTACTCTAGAGCTTAAAAATTCATTAATAGTGTGAGAAATTGTAGCAAACATAAGGTTTAATAGTAGCTAAACATGAAAAGGTTAAACAGTTTTAATAAATATTTGAATTAATTAGAGATCCAGCCATATCAAAACATCGAAGGCTTTGTTGACCCCCACATATTTTATACATTAGAAAAAACTATTAACTCAGTTTGCCTTTTGAACTGTGAATGATATTTCTATCTACAGAACAGCTCAGAAAACAATAATAGTATCACCTCATATAACCCTCCATTGTTGTTGGATTCCCTACAGTTGTTGAGCTCCTCTCAAAAAAGCCTTATAATTTTGAGACGTTCTTTTACTTCAGTTAAAAAAAATAAAATAGGAAAAAATCACTTTGTTTATCAATGCATAATCTCTAAAAGCAGCAAGTAGATGCTTTGATTAGGGTTGAGTGAAATGTCATGTAAGTATGAATGGTGGTGAGCTGCATGTGCAAAATGGCTAACTGGAATTCAGGGGCAAGTGTATGAGTCAGACAGCATTCAGTGCCAGATGTTTCATACAAGCATTAGAGCTTGAAGTGGCTAAGGGTTCAAGCAGTCAGTCAGTGGGGTTGCAGAGATAGGCAGATGCTCCTCAAGAATGGAATTCCAGAAAGGTGCTTGAGGCGGACTGAATCCTAAAAGCCCAGGGCTGTTATGTACTAACTGCTGTTAGTGTAGAAGAAGCATAAGTGATTCTACTACCCAAATTAGTCTACTAAGAAACTGTAGACTGAGAAGATGAAAAAAGTTGGGATGACTTGCTGGAGAAAGAATAAGGGATCGAGAGAGAGGGTAAGTTTCTGAGAGGAGTCTTATGGATTCGTTCCCTGCAGAAAAGTCATTCTGTTCTTTCCTGGTTTAAAGTCTCAAGCACCAGCAGCAGTAGGGTAGAACTTGGAAGACAAGGCCAAAATAGATGAGCTCGTCAAGTTTGTAAGGATACTGAGGCTGTAGAGAAAAGTAGTTTGTAGAAACTCTGAAATTGGTTCCAGCTTTAGTGTTTTTGTTTTAACTGAGTAACTTATGACTTTGAAAAGTCAAAGCCATCAAAACATAACATGTAGCTCAATCAACTGAATGTTGTATTTTTCTGTTTAACATGGGCTAGAGAAGAGGGTCTATATATTTTTTCCCAAAAAAAAACCTCCCACTCTCTAGACATTGATCCATACATTCTAATTCAGTTGTGAACCATCTGCAGTGATGTTTGACTTACGTCATTTGACATGAAAATAATTTAACCAGCTGCCCTTGCTGAATCTTTTATCATGGCTCCTGAATACATGGTAAACTGTTTTTTTGTTTTTATCTTCTTGAGACCTCAGGTTTCTGCAGACCTGTTTTCTCTTTCAGAGTTAAATTTTCTAAATCTTTGCTTTTTGATAGAACAGGTTGGGTATCTATACTATATCTAGCTGTTCAGCTGCTTCTGTATTCTGTCCAACTGTTAGTTTATACTTGAGGGTATGTTTTCGATCAGGGCTGGCACTATGGCCCACCTGCTGTTTGTAAATAAAATTTTATTGGAATACAGCCATGCCTATTTGTGTACGAAGTGTCTACGGCTGCTTTGCTTTGCAGCAGCAGAGTTGAGAAGTTGCAACAGACATAGTGACCGGCAAACTTAAAATTTTTATTACCTGGCTCTTTAAGAAAAAACTTTGTTGATTACTGTTCTAATCGGCGGTTCTCAGTGTGATCATCAGACCAGCAACCTTACAGCAACCTTAGCATCACCCAGGAACTTGTTAAAAACAAATTCTTGTACCTGCCCAGGCCTACAGAAATTCTGGGGCTGGGGCCAGCAATCTGTGTTTAAGAAGCCTTTCACATGACTGATAAACATTAAAAGTTTGAGCCCTAGCTGGTGTGGCTCAGAGTATTGAGTGCTGGCCTGTGAACCAAAAGGTTGCTGGTTCAATTCCCAGTCAGGGCTCATGCCTGGGTTGCCAGCCAGGTCCCCAGTTGGGGGCATGCAAGAAGTACTGAATCAATGTATCTCTCCCACACTGATATTTCTCTTCCTCTTTCTTCCTTCCCCTCTCTCTAAAAGTAAATTTAAAAAATCTTTTAAAAAGTTTGAGAAACCTTGTTCTAGAATGTTTCTCAAATGTTTACGTAATAGCTTTACTATTTTTTAACCCTGTTTTTCCACCTCACTTTCTAAAAAATTTAAGATGATTTTAAAATTTATGTCCTTAGAAAAATAAATACAATGAAAACTACGTGGTGTTATAATAGATAACTAGACTCTGTTGTCACTTACCCTGTGCTAAAAATTAGAACTTACTTGCTATATTAAACACATAATGAGTGCCAATGGGAGGTTTTTTCTTGATTTATTCATAATAAATAATTACCACTGAGTGAATGGTGTTTCAAACATCATGTTGGTGAAATCAAGTAATGCCTAAGATCCTCCTGTGGACAAACCTTATACTTGAAAAATACTATCTGGTCATTCATGTGACAGGAAAGTTGCTTGAACTGTATATACCAAAGTCCCCAAGTAGAAATGATTGGTCAGCAATACACACTGGTGTGTGAGAGGGAGAAGTTGAGGAGGCCCCATGGGACCATCTAGACCTCTCCAGAGAAGTTTGCTCCTCAACTGATTTCTCATGTCTCCATTGGTCTTTTGGTGTGGTGGTCAGCAGTTCTGGAGGGTTTCACCAACCTTGCATAGCAAGAATGTGAAAAGGTGCCTGGTTACAGGAAAAACTGCTTATCAAAAGTAACTACTGGACTAGAGACTGGGGTGGCGGAATGGTTGTGATTTGACATTATGGACAGGGAATACATGCTTACTAGGAGAACAGCTGGTCCACCTCAGATTCTAGGAAACGTGTATTTTGAGAGGTTCCTGTGTTAGAGTTTAATTTGCCTCTTAGTATTAGAGGGAATACTTCCCCAGACATGGTCTTCTGTATATTTATTGGCTGATGTGCTGTAGGGTATTGTAATTGCTCATAGGAATAGAATCTTTCTTTTGGGAACATTCCCATCTTGCTGAGTTGCTTTAGTTATTTCTTCCTTTTCTTTCCTGAGAGATTATGGACATATTTGTTTCTGTTGTCTTTCGACTCTGCAATAAAGTAGTGACATAGGTCTCTAATCCTAGAGGGGACTGAAAGTTTAGCAGGGAGTGAAGAATTTAGGAAGCGATGAATTCTGCTACTGATTGATTGTAGGTGTCCAGTTTGGGGGGGGGGGAGTGTTCAAAAAATACAAAGACAATCAGATACCTATAAAAATGAACAAATGTTATTTTGTGTATTTTCTCCTACACAGTTTAGGGGACTGTGTAGGGGAACATAAGGGACCATTTGTAAAACTTAATTTGAGGAACATATTTAGTGTATATTCAACACATTGCTTCTGCTGTGTTAATTCAGTAGTTGTAAGGCTCAGTCTCCTTCATGGTAATCTGTTTTTCAGTTTACCTTCCTTTA